TATTATCTTCTGAGTTATTTTAACAACAACAACAAAAAAAAAACCTGTGGGATTTTAGTATCTATGGAGATTCTTAGTCATCCGGGTGATGGACTTTTTGGTTTTTCTTTGAAGATGTTTTGCTTTTCCTCCAAGAAGCTTCTTGTGGGGTTTTAGTGAAACAAAACAAAACAAAATGAGTGTACGGTTCTAACATTTCATTTCTTCCCTCCTGCCACTTGAAACAAAAAGGGTTTGATGAAGAGACTTGCCCCCTTGCTGGTTCAGAAAAAAAATACATGGTCAAAAAATGAAAACGAGGACATCTCTGCCCTAATATAATTTGGGATATAGTAGCCATAAATGGGACATTGCTCAGTCAGAATTCACGTTCTTCCAATCTTTCCTTCTTGATAGATCTTGTTGAAGAGACTTTTCAAGAATCATGTTTGGAAAAAAGGTATTATTTTTTGCTTTTAGGCTCAGGCCAAACTAGCCCGTCATTTCATGTCTAACTTTTCTCAGGATTTTCCTTACTTTTAATGCTATAAGCGCCTGCCATTTTCAGACAAGGGACGGGGGAGCACAAAAAAAAAAAAGAAAGAAAGAAAAAGAGATAAAGAAAAATCCCAGCGATTACTATCTGTCTGAATGAAAGGAAGTTCCAACTTGTCAGTTAAACAAAGCAATAACACAGCACTCTCCTTTATAGTCTATGTTTTCATCCAACAGACCATTATCGCATCATGCCAGAGTGTTCCCTTCTCCAGGTCACTTGGTTTAAAATGACATGGATAATGCACATGTCAGGAAGCTGACAGCTTCGACTGTCCTTCAGAGATTTAAGAAAAGAGAGAAAAGAAGGGGGAAAAAACCCCCCACCAAACTAGCGAAGGAAAGAAAACACGAATGCCTGTTTCTTATCTGAGGCCCACGCCTCGGGTCTATCTTGGAAATCAGGCAGAACATGATTTCTCCAGGGAGCACTTTTTTCATTTCCTGATTTTAAAGAAATCAAATAAGCACCATTCATTCTTCATCTGAATATGCTTGACCCGTTCAAATGATGGCATGTCGCTTCCCCTTCCCTTTTTTTCTTTTTAAGAATACAAGCAACGTATGTGGAATTGGCAATGAAGGGAACGCAACACCATCGAGAGATGCCGGAGCACGAAGGGTTGAAAGCATCTTCTCTAGAGGGAACCGATTCAATTTAAGAAGGTAACTTATTTTTCTTTTAAAATTTCATGCAGAATGAATTCATCACTCCAGGTAAAGGGTGGGGAGAAATTAAAAAAAACACCTTGAAATCGAAACGCTCGAGGGGAAGAGGAGAACCTGGGACTTCAAGGCAAGTTGTGTGAGATCCATCATCACCATCTGCTGAATGTGGCCAGGAGATCCTTTGATCAGTTGTATCCCTTTCTGGACTTAGAGGCATAGCAGACCGTGTCCCATGCCTCGGTCAGCTTCTGATTGGATTACAAATATATAGATACAGATTAACAGAGTTGGAAGGGACCTTGTAGGTCATCTAGTCCAATCCCCCATGCAATCAGACCTACACAATTTCTGACACATGGCAGTCCAGTCTCTTCTTGAAAGCTTAACAGGTAACAGATAATCAGGGTTGGAAGGGACCTTGTAGGTCATCTAGTCCAACCCCCCCCCGCCCAAGCGGGAGACCCTACACCATTTCTGACAAATGGCAATCCAATCTCTTCTTGAAAGTCTCAAGTGATGGCTATATGGAGCTTGCACAACTTCTGAAGGAAAGTTGTTCTATTGGTTGATTGTTCTCACTGTCTCCTGACTTCTGGGTTGAATCTCTCCCTGTTCAGCTTCCATCCATTATTCCTTGTCTGGCGTTCAGGTGCCTTGGAAAATAGCTTGACCCCTTCCTCTCTGTGGCAGCCACTCAAATTTTGGAAGACTGCTATCATGTCTCCCCTGGGCTTTCTCTTCACTAGACTAGCCAGGCCCAGTTCCTGCAACTGTTCTTCATATGTTTTAGTCTCCACTCCCCTAATCATCCTGGTTGCACTTTTTCTAGAGTCTCAACATCTGTTTTATAGTGTGGTGACCAGAACTAAAACCATTCACTTAATGACTGTTCAAAGTTACAATAGCACTGAAAAGAGTGACTTACAACTGGTGCCCCACATTTAAGACTATCACATCATCCCCCACATTCACATGATCGAAATTGGGGTGCTTGGCAACTGGCATTTATTTATGATGGTGGAAACATACCAGGGTCACGTGTCCCACATTTGTGAGTTTCCCAGCCTGCTTCTAAGAAGAAAAGTCAATGGGAGAAGCCAGATTTTTTTAAACAACCACACGATTCACTTAATTCACCCCTCACATCCCAGACATGAACTGTTTCAACTCTTACCCTCAAAACAACGCTATAGGGCACTGCACACCAGAACAACTAGACACAAGGACAGTTTTTTCCTGAATGCCATCACTCTGCTAAACAACTAATTCCCTCAACACTGCCCACCTACTTACTAAGTCTGTATTACTATTACTATTAATCCTCCCATCCTTCCTTTCACCCATCTCCTCCCACTTATGTGTATGACTGTAACCTTGTGGCTTGTACCCTAACAATTTTTATTGACTGTTTCCTATTATGATTTGATTGCTTATTTGTACCCCTGACTATCATTAAGTGTTGTACCTTATGGTTCTTGATGAATGTATTTTGTTTTTTCTTTATGTACACTGAGAGCCTATGCACCAAGACAAATTCCTTGTGTGTCCAATCACACTTGGCCAATAAAGAATTCTATTCTATTCTATTCTATTCTATTCTATTCTATTCTATTCTAT